TGATTTTAATTTTTAGAAATACAGTCAAACCTGCTTAAGAGACCACCTGTATTAAGCAAAAAACTGTGTTAAAAGACCACCGATTTTAGATCCCTCTGTATAGTACATTTCATAAATATCGAACCTTTATTAAAAGACCACCTGTCTTAAGAGACCACTTTTTTGCTATCCCATAAGTGGTCTCTTAAAACAGGTTTGACTGTATATAGTGAAATCTATACTGTGGGGGAAAGATTTGCATGGGGGAAAAGTGACTATATGTATACGTATTGCCAATTTTTCGCTGGGGGAAGAATGGCAATGATACAACATTTCCCCGGGGGTAAAATTGGATCATGATAGTTTTCCCCCGGGGGGAGACTGGCATGAGGGAAGGATGTCTATATTACACCGGTAGTTCAGTGGTTGTCGTTGGTTTATGCCTGTCATATTTGTTTTTCTGAATTGTTTTGTTATAAATATGACCGTTTGTTTGCTAGTTTGAATTGTTTACATTTTACATGTCGTTGCCTTTCATAGCCGACTTTACGGAATGGGTTTTTCTTATTGTTGAAGGCCGTACGGTTGTCTATAATTGCTTACATCCACTTCATTTGTACTCTCTTGCATAATTGTCCCATTGGCAATCATACCAAATCTCCTTAGTTTTATATAATCTGTTAAATTTAAAATTGATATCACAACCTGTATAAACATCGGTCATTTGAAAAAGTTATGACGTCATTGCAGCAAATCAATAAAGCGTACGTCGATTAGAGAAGCTAAAAAGTGGACGTCGATTTGAGAACAACAAAAAAGACGTCGATTAGTAGGGTATAAAATTGGCGGTCGATTTGGCATGTTATTTTAATGTCGTCGGATTTGGACGTCGATTTGAGGAACGGCCGTCGATTAGAGACCGATGAGTCTTACATATATATGCAAATAGTTTATATGACAATACCATTTGGGTTTTTTTAAGGTTTTTTTTTTTGCTATTATCAAAAGAGTTATTTTGTGTGATGCTACGTTTCAATATTTGGTGTCATGATATATAGTGCGACTGCAGTTTTTCTTATATTTGTTAAGCATCTTACGCCGAATACATTGTTACGTACATAAACATATAATCCCGTTGGTACTTTATATGTATAAAATAACTTGTTTTGGGATTTTGATTGCGCGACCGTAAACGTATTATACGAGCAAACTACATTTGCGCGAAATTAAAAATGACAAGCATTTCGTTTGCGCGAAGAAATTGTATTAATACGCTTGCGCGAATCTACCTGTAATTCACCTGAGTTTTCACCTGACTTTTTATTGTGAGAATAACCTGAATTTTATGGATTTTTATGATTTTTTTTTTTTAGGAAAATGAGATAACATGTTGGTGGTTGTCTATCATATTTGTTAAGAACATAGTTTGCATACCACATTTTCAATTCTTATATTTAAGAAATAATTTGTGGCAGCCGTATAGATTTGTTTTCATTTTACAATGGGTTGGGCATTTATATTGGATTATTTCCGAGCGATAGCGATGGGTATAATACATGTGGTAATAGCTGTAAAAAGATTGGACCATTGTTGGTACGATTTGTTACTTCATTAGACACAGTCGTCCACACTGTAATTTCAGCTCACTAGTTACGTAAATTTCTTTTATGTAGTCGGCAAATTTATTTCATTTTTTATTATCAGGAACATCTGACATTATATCGTCAGCAAAACCGTCCTCAACTTCCTCCGCTGGAAGAAATGGCAATCAGAAAATCTGCGTTAACCATTTTTTTATTTCATTTGACCTATCTTTGTCCTCATTAGCTAAACCTAAATTTTGTATTTTGTCCAAGATGAAAACGACAACCTTTGACTGTAGTATTTGGATGAATTTTAACAAAACGTTCAAATTAATTCTTTTTTTGTGAACTATAAGTAAACTTTGTTAACTTCAAAATTTCTTTAACTCGACCATTCACGACTCATTAATGTGTCCATCCAACCGACCACTAATTGAAAACATATTTGAATTCCGACCAATTCACAATCTCTAGACGTTCTTTACTCAACTAGCTAGACCAAATCAACTATACTCGATCTCAGCCCGATCTTGACCAGACCAGGTCGACCTGGTAGTATAGGGGTCGTAGGGATAGTCGGGAATTTGTCGGGTATGTACAATTTCAGTATAAAAAATGTCTGAATTTGTTAAGCCCCGCCGCAGCGTAGGGGGCATTAAGTGTTAACCTTGTCCGTCCGTACACGTGTACGTCCAATCAGTTAGTTTCCCTTCTCTCTAAATTTTGCCCCAACCAAATGTTATGACACGTATACACAATGCTTATTACCATAATACACAGATCATGTGCTAATTTGGATGGCGTCACTTTTATCGATTTTGAGTAATGACCCTTTATAATGCTATATATATGCAAGCGGGCCATTATTTGTGTCCCATGGACACATTCTCTATTCTATTCATTTGGTTAGATTCAGTAGTTTACAGAAGCTCTGAGTAAAATCAGACATTTAAGATATCTACGTCGAAATAAAACAGTTGGATTTGTAGGCAATGTGGTTAGTCCTCCAGAATGTCAGGTTAATAGCTGTGAAGTACCTTGAAAAGGGCGTAGAAGACGAACAAAAAGTCGTAGACAGCAACGTGCGCCAAAGAATCTAGGTGAGACAGAGGTTGACACGACGACAGCTGTATGGGCAAAATAAAAGACTTGCAGGAGTTCAACAAAGAAGACCCCAAATGTTTATAAAATAGTCCTGAAAGTAGAGTAGGAAGCTGATATGTTATGGTAGCTTTCGTTGCTCTTTTCTTGAAAATGACATCATGAAATGAGATTTGTCCTCATATTGGTACTTATGTTAGATAACAATATACATAAATTTTACCAGCCCTTTTTCTTTCCTTTCTCACAAATTAAGCCTACTGTTTGTGTCATATTTGTGTATATGTATGTAATCAGTATTTTGTATAGATTTGATATCCAGAAGTTGAAAGGTTAAAGCTAGAATGTATTTTTGACGTATCCATGGCACAAACCTACATGTTTTTGCTAAAAGTGGTGTAAAGGTGTCACACATTTCCTCAAAATTTGGTCAAAAGTTGAAATTTCAATCCCTTGGAGTGATACCTTTTCTCAAACTGTTCACATATATCCATCAAGAGATCAAATAAAAATCATTTGACTTTCGTCTCATTTTTTTGTAAAGTTGCGTCAAAAAGATCGTGTGAAAAAAAATTTTGTAAACATTTGGCCCCGCTGCATGTTTGTGCCTCTCCCAAGTCAGGGACCTCTTCAATGAATTAGTACACATTTTCTTTTAGGGGCCAGATGTAGCCCGCCACCGGGTGCGAAATTTTCTCCCTGTGTTGAAACATATACATTTTGTACTGCAAAAATTTCTGGATCTAAGGGAAATACGGACTGTCAAAAAGAAAATAACCCATAAAACGAGTGAAAAATAATCTTGATGTTCATATAAACAAACTTTGAAGGCTTTCTAAAAAAGATTGTTTTTGCACAATTACTTTCATATTTGAAAAAAAATCCTCCGTGGCCAAAATGCAGGATCTAATTTCCTTCCGGTGCATCTGAGATCATCCCAGTTTTTAAATGGGTTTCGTGTTGCTAAGTTTTTTGTTTTCTATGCTGTGATATGTTGGCTGCTGTTTGTCTTCTCGTCGGTTTTCGTTTTTCGCCATGGCTTTGTCGGTTTGTTTTCGACCTTTGAATTTGATTGTTCCTTTGGTATCGTTTGCCTCTCTTTTTAAATATTAACCCTCCTTGTAGAAGTACAGACAAGTACTGTACTTGGAGTAATGTTTGCGTAGTTAATCATTTGTTTAGTTAAAATCTGCATATCTAGATTAAATTATAGATTCGTTTCGTCTAGCAAATAATTATAACTCCTTATTAAAGTTCACATATGAAATCTCAAACAATAAAATGTCGTTCTTAGATGTTGATGTAATCAAAGGTCAAAGATTTACAACACATGGCATGCTTGACCTTGACTACATTTTAAAGAAACCAATTCTTATCTGTTTCTGCACAGATATAGCTGTCACTCACCGCATGTATTCAGAGGATTTATTAAAGGTGAAGCAATACGGCAAATTAGAAACACAAGTGACCATAACAAATTAATAAACAATCTAACTAATTTCAAAGTGAAATTATTAGATAGGGGTTATGATAACGCGGAAATAGATGATAGTATTACTGATGCTTTATCAATTGACAGTACTGAATTACTACAACAAAACAAATCAAAAGAAAAACAAAATATTCCATTAGTTTTAATAACTAAATATAATCCATATATACGTAAAATAAAGAAACGTATTATGAAACACGGGCATTTATTACAGTTAGACGAAGATTGTGTACAAATATTCAATACAGCACCAATTGTTGCGTATAGCAAACACAAGAGTGTTGGAGATATGCTTAGTTTGACAAACTACGAATTTTATATTCAGGAATAGATAACCTGATCTGTATTTGGCAAAACGTTCCGGAATCTTGGGCCTTTTATGATCTAATGACTTTTTTAATCGACCTTTTGTACACGAAACACACATACAAAATTACAAGCATGATATCTTTGACTATGATGCATTTTTTTCCTTTGATATTCAATATTCGCGTTTTTTTTTTTTCTTTTCTTTGACGTATGAATATCTGATTAAAACAATAACCATTTTTATTTATTTAAGTATGTTTAAAGTCATTATAGTACTGCAAATTAAGAGGAGATATGATTGAATGTTGTTTTCTGACCGTCCAGTGACAAATACTTCATGAATGTTTATGACGGAAAGTAATGTAGAGAACAATTTTCAGACAAGAAATACGAAGTTGCACGCCTTGTCGTTGAAAAATAGCAGCGGGAAGGCGGGGGACAATTACAAATCATAAGTACAATAAATACAAACAAATCCACTCTGTGTTTTTGTTAGATGCATTTCTATTTGTATCCATCTGATGAGTTAAGCCTTTTTAAACTGATTTTTGTCGAGCCTGCGACTTTTGTCGCAGAAAGCTCGACATAGGGATAGCGATCCGGCGGCGGCGGCGGCGGCGGCTACGGCGGCGGCGGCGGCGTTAGCTAACTTCTTAAAAGCTTTATATTTTAGAAGATGGAAGACCTGGATGCTTCATACTTTGTATATGGATGCCTCATGTTACGAAGTTTCCGTCAGTCACATGTCCAATGTCCTTGACCTCATTTTCATGGTTCAGTGACTACTTGAAAAAAAAGTTCAGATTTTTTGTAATGTTAAATTCTCTCTTATTATAAGTAGTAGGATAACTATATTTGGTATGTGCGTACCTTGCAAGGTCCTCATGCCCGTCAGACAGTTTTCACTTGACCTCGACCTCATTTCATGGATCAGTGAACAAGGTTAAGTTTTCGTGGTCAAGTCCATATCTCAGATACTATAAGCAATAGGTCTAGTATATTCGGTGTATGGAAGGACTGTAAGGTGTACATGTCCAACTGGCAGGTGTCATCTGACCTTGACCTCATTTTCATGGTTCAGTGGTTATAGTTAAGTTTTTGTGTTTTGGTCTGTTTTTCTTATACTGTATGCAATAGGTCTACTATATTTGGTGTATGGAATGATTGTAAGGTGTACATGTCTAGCTGGCAGGTGTCATCTGACCTTAACCTCATTTTCATGGTTCAGTGGTCAAAGTTAAGTTTTTGAGTTTTGGTCTTTTTTTCTAATACTGCATGCAATAGGTCAGCTATATTTGGTGTATGGAATGATTGTAAGGTGTACTTGTCTAGCTGGCAGGTGTCATCTTACCTTGACCTCATTTTCATGGTTCAGTGGTCAAAGTTAAGTTTTTGAGTTTTGGTCTTTTTTTCTAATACTATATGCAATAGTTCAACTATATTTGGTGTATGGAAATATTTTATGATCTATATGTCAGTCACGCAGGTTTTATTTGACCTTGACCTCATTTTCAAGGTTCATTGCTCAGTGTTAAGTTTTTGTGTTTTCGTCTGTTTTTCTTAAACTATAAGCAATAGGTCAACTATATTTGTTGTATGGAAGAATTGTTAGCTGTACATGCCTGCCTAGCATGGTTCATCTGACCTTGACCTCATTTTCATGGTTCATTGGTCAATATTTAGTTTACTTGGTTAATGTTAAGTTTATGTGACAGTTGTAATAAAGCTTTATATTTAGGACTATCAACATAATATCAATGATTAGTAAAGAAGGCGAGACATTTCAGCGTGTGCACTCTTGTTATAGTTCGTTCTTATGTTGTACTGTTACACCACTGTCCCAGGTTAGGGGATCCCGCTAACATGTTCAACACCGCCACATTCTGTATGTATGTGCCTGTCCCAAGTCAGGAGCCTGTTATTCAGTGGTTGTCGTTTGTTACTGTGTTACATATTTGTTTTTCGTTCATTTTTTTGTACATCAACTATGCCGTTAGTTTTCTCGTTTGAATTGTTTTACATTTGTCATTTTCGGGACTTTTATAGCTGACTATGCGGTATGGGCTTTACTCATAGTTGAAGGCCGTACGGTGACATATTGTTGTTAAATTATTTATGTGTCATTTGGTCACTTGTCAAGAGTTGTCTCATTAGCAATCATACCACATCTTCTTTTTTATAAACATCATGGTAAAAAAATTACACAATATTAATTCGCAATAGTGTTGGATAGTTTTGTTTGATCTTTATTACTGCTACAGTTTCACAATTAAATAATTAAAATTATCACATGGTGTCGTCTTATGTCGTATGATACAATGTATGTTATTATTTACTGTTCTGTAGTTCTGTAATTTATTTTCGTAATGATTGCCTAAAATGTTAACTTGGCATGCCATACATGAAAGAAATGCGGACGTTAAAGAAAGGACTTTTCACAAAAGCGTCAACGGAGATTAATAGATTCCAGGGCCACGATTTCGTCATTTATAAAACAAAATACGTGTTTCTGACGGGTAATGTTGTACTAACAATTAATGTTGACACCATTCATTGCCATTATCAATCTGTTGAGTATAGAATTTATAGTCAAAACTTGTTTTTGTTTAGAATACACCATTCCATGGATAACATGTTTAACAAATCTGTGCAGTTTTTACGCTACAAAGACATATCATATGTATGCTTCGACATGCCAATCAACGTCTGTGTCACAGTGTTCCAAATATTGAAATTTAGTCAAAAAGGAACTATTTTAGGATGAACCAGTTATTTAATAACTTTGGTTTCAGTTAGTGATTTACATTCCCAAAATTTCTCTGCAGTTTGTCACAGTTCCTTCCGATTTGTGTCAAACCCCGACAATCTGCTATAATCTCACTTTAAATTCATACAATAATAAATACAGGAATATTCTGTGTTCCTTTCTCGTAGATGTAAAATTTGTCGTAAAAAACTAGCCATTTTAGCACGAAGAAAAGTCTTTTTGTCGAATCCAGCGAATACCGGAAATCATCTCCGGTCCGCAGTTCGTTTAAATATTTCGATGATTCAATGAAAACTGACGATTTTTTTTCACCTTTTTTTAATTTTTAACTATGAGCGTACCTACGGCCCACTAAGGTATTTGAACTACATCAACATTTATATTCAAGGAATGTTAGGTTTAAATATTATCGTGGGCCGTAGGTACGCTCATAGTTTAAAATGCAGAAAAAGATTTGGAAACTGCCATTTATCTGCCGTTTTCGCGAATCTTGAGGTGTTTACAGCAACAAAGCATGAATAATATCAGCTAAAGTTGACAAATCTATTGATGTTTACAAAAATATAGGTTTTAAACTTTAAAAATATAGTACTATAATTTATGGCATATCACTTTTAATTTGAATCGAAATCGGGGGCCGTTCTCTGATGCTTATCGTACCTAGCTTGTCCTTTTAGTTATTTCTAAACAAAATATTTCATAAATTTATAGGATACTTGTATAAAAGAGAACTTATAAATAAATTAACAAAAAAACAGCTTGTGTTTATCTGTTTATCTTTTAAAACAAAAAAGTTATGCACATTTGTCGGGAGGAAAAATACGTCCACAAATCCGAATTTTGAGCAAATATCTGAAATTTTGACCTCATTTTACTCAAAAAGTAGCACATGAAGGTATATTTTTTATTACATATTTGATTTAAGCAGGTAAAAAATAGCCTATATATCTTAAAGTGAAAAATTCTCACCGTCAGAAATAAACTGTTGGATATGCCCTTAATTGCCACGACAGGGACGTACATGTGAATATTTGTTAGCGAAAAGGCTCTGCTGGGTACATAATTAATACATCACCCGAGACAGAGATGATATAAGAAAATTATTGTTCATGTATGCCGCGTTTCCATTCCACTTGTTTTAAAATTACCCGGTGCCAGTGTGATAAAATCCACTAATATACCAGGCAAAACATATGAATATATAAAATGTAATAATATTAAAAAATGATTTGTTTTTCAATAAACTCGGACTTGGTCATTAAAAAAGTTTTTTTTTGTTTTCAAATTATCGCATTATACATTTCATTTCTATAAGTACTGATAAAAAGGGCGGATACTTTAGTGATGATAATTGACTAGATTCGTTAAACACGCCTTCCAACAGTAAGATATACAGTCTAATCAAAATAAATTATACAGCCTATGCTATTTTCGAGTTTTGACCCTTTAATGATGTGTTTGAAATAGTACAGCATATGCTACAATTTAAAAATATAGCATAGTCAATGTTTGTGATATAGCATATGCGATAAAACTGCAGCATAACCAGACAAATATATATTGACCCTTTTGGGACGTCAAATATAGCTTATGCTACAAAGCAGCATAAGCTATATTTTATAGCTTATGCACCTCTTTTTACTTTTGACCCTTTCCGTACGCCATACACTCCATTGAATTTATTTTACTAAATGAATATTGGCATAGCTTAATTGCAGTCAATATTTTAGTACAGTCTTTAATTATAAAGATTCAAAACTTGAATAATTTTGTCAAAAATACTCAAAGCGAGACATACTGGTAGCTAGGATGCCCTAGGTGGTGTCAACATTTAGGTTCAGTTTATGGTAAAAGATTTTTTATGCATCAATAACTCTGTCAAATCTTCATGGAATTTTAGGAAATTTAGACAGAAGATTTAGGCGAGTGACAATTTTCAAAAAGACGCTTAGTTAACGACTTTAATGCACCCACCTAACATACGGCTATATTATATATCATTCGAAAGCTTATTACCTGTACTTTCATTTTTGCTCGGTCGTCAATAATTCGTACGGTGCAATATTCGTTAAATCAAGGTCAAAGGTCAAAACTGAACATTCCAAAAGTTTGCTAGAATTTCACAAAATGCCATTTTCTGGTACTTGTATGGTATTTTTTTCCTAAAAATTATCTAAACCTTATAAAACAAATTACCCTGATTTCAAATCATGTGCAAACTTAAATGTTGATTGCGCTATATCAACAGAAAATTGAATTTCTTGAAAAAACTTCCAAAAATGATAAAACTGCAATAAAATCTAAATGTTTTCTGAAATTTGAATATTTGTATGTCAAAAATAGAATAGATTTATTGTTTATAGACTGAGGGAATTTTTTCATCATTTTAAACTGCAATTAATATGATGTAGGTCCAGTTGCAGCCTTCTAATGAAGCTTTTGTAGTTGCCCAAAAAAACACCATCTGCAAATGGGGGTCATTTTCCTTTTTTTTTTGCTAGATAATATTGCTAATATCGGCAGATAATGATCAATCATATTAAAAAAAAAGGGGTAATGGAAGAACTTTAAGGAACAAAAGAAGTATATTTGGTAAAAATTAGTTTTCCGATGTGGAAAGACATGTTACGAAGATTATTCTCGTTCAATGTTCGAATAAAAACTGACTGTACCATGCGCTTTTCGATGTCAAATCCGGCGAATTCTTTTTAATGTTAGCCCATTATTATATCCTTTGTTAGTTGTTTTATTCAATATGACTGAAAATTAATAATTCAGATTAATTAAGATTGAAAAACCTTCATGAACAACTGTAATCACCATACTGGTTTATGTAGTGTTCACACAATTCGGTATAGTGTTTTAAGAAGATTTGTTTGTCTGTCCTACATTTTCGCCATGGTCATGCTGTTATCTGTTTTTCTTCGACTATGGTTTGAGACTGCCTCCTTATTATCTTATCCCTTTTTTCAATCAAAGAAAAGAAAACCATAAATTTCAAAGCTGAGCGAAAAAAGACAACAGAACTTACAACTCAGATATTGATGCAAAAACAAAATTAGAAAAAACAACATAAATTACCGAACTCCAAGTAAAAATTCAAAACGGAAAGTCTCTTATCAAATGACAAATCCAAAAGCTGAA